CTTTGCTAAGTGCCTCATGAGTAAAGAGGAAGACACTTGGTTATGGCACCGAAGGGTAGCTCATATGAACATGAACCTTTTGAACAAATTGGTTTCACAAGACTTAGTAATTGGCATTCCAAAACTTAAGTTTGAAAAAGACGCCATATGTGATGCATGTCAAAAAGGGAAGCAAGTTCGGGCTTCGTTTAAGTCTAAGAACGTTGTTTCAACGTCTAGACCGCTTCAACTTTTGCACATGGATCTTTTTGGTCCTTCTAGAACGAAAAGTTTTGGTGGCAATTACTTTGCGTTTGTGATTGTCGATGACTACTTTAGGTTTACATGGACCTTGTTTCTAACTCATAAAAGTGAGGCATTCCACATTTTCAAAAATTTTCTAAAGAAAGTTCAAAATGAAAAAGACACAACCATAGTAGCCATAAGAAGCGACCATGGGGGAGAGTTCGAACGAAATCTGTTTTCAGATTTGTGTGACGAACTTGGCATTGATCATAACTTCTCAGCCCCACATACACCACAACAAAATGGAGTGGTGGAACGTAAAAATAGATGTCTCGAAGAGATGGCCAGAACTATGATCAATGAGGCAAAAATTCCTAAGTATTTTTGGGCGGATGCCGTGAGTACCGCGAGCTACGTGTTAAACCAAGCCGTCATTCGACCGATACTCATGGAAACGCCCTATGAATTATACAAAGGAAGAAAGTCAAACCTTTCCCATCTTCGAGTCTTTGGTTGCAAATGTTTTATTCATAATAACGGCAAAGATAACTTGGGAAAATTTGATGCCAAGTCGGACGAAGGGATTTTTCTTGGTTATTCTCTACGTAGCAAGGCCTATAGAGTTTTTAATAAACGCACTTTGACTATTGAGGAATCCCCTCATGTTGTATTTTCCGAAGATAATGCTCGCTTGGTGAGAAAGGCTATTTGTGATGATCTTGTAGATTCACTCGAAAGATTACACGTTGAAGACGATGAAGAAGACACGCCATTATACACCAACCCGCAACCACAACCTGAGGAAACACCTCAAGTGATGGTCGAAAATGAGGACCAAGCGGACGAAGAAGAACAAGAGGAAGCCCAGGAACAAGAGGAAATCGAGCTTCCCATCGCTTGGAGAACGCACAGGAACCATCCACTTGACCAGGTAATCGGCAGCATCAACCGCGGGGTAAGTACTCGTAATTCTCTTAGGGACACCGTAGGTCACATGGCTTTTGTTTCTCAAATTGAACCTACAACCATTTCCGAAGCAATAAACGATGAACATTGGACCTTGGCTATGCAAGAGGAGCTAAACCAATTCAAACAAAATGACGTTTGGGAATTGGTGCCAAGGCTCGATGATCGTACGATTATTGGTACGAAATGGGTGTTCCGTAACAAACTTGATGAAAATGGAATAATCACTAGAAACAAAGCTAGGCTCGTAGCTAAAGGCTACAATCAAGAAGAAGGCATTGATTTTGAAGAAACCTATGCACCCGTTGCATGTTTAGAAGCTATTCGTTTACTTCTTGCTTTTGTTTCGTCTATGGATTTTAAACTTTATCAAATGGATGTTAAGAGTGCCTTCCTCAATGGTTTTATTCAAGAGGAAGTGTATGTTGACCAGCCCCCGGGGTTTGAAGACTTTGAGTTTCCTGATCATGTCTTCAAACTCAAGAAAGCGCTCTACGATCTTAAACAAGCACCCCGTGCTTGGTACGAACGTTTGAGTAAATTTCTTTTGGATAGTGGTTTCCAAAGGGGAAAGGTAGACACCACACTTTTTATCAAGAGTAAAAACAATAACGTCCTTTTGGTTCAAGTTTATGTAGACGATATTATATTCGGTGCTACTAATGAGTCCTTGTGCAAGGAATTCTCAACGCTAATGACTAGCGAATTTGAAATGTCAATGATGGGCGAGCTCACATTCTTTTTGGGACTCCAAGTCAAGCAAATGAAAGATGGCACGTTCATTTGCCAAGCTAAGTATTGCAAGGAGCTCCTAAAACGATTTGAAATGGACAATGCCAAAGCCATGGCGACCCCAATGAGCACGTCTGACCATCTTGACAAAGACGAGAAAGGTATGGAAGTAGATGTCAAAAAGTATCGAGGTATGATCGGATCCCTTCTCTATCTTACCGCTAGTAGGCCGGATATCATGTTTAGCGTATGCCTTTGCGCAAGATATCAATCGTGTCCGAAGGAATCGCACCTAACGGCGGTAAAACGGATCATGAAATACCTTTCCGGCACGGTTAACGTTGGACTGTGGTATCCAAAAGGCTCTTCTTGTCATCTCGTTGGCTATTCCGACTCGGACTTTGCCGGTTGCAAATTGGACCGTAAAAGTACAAGTGGGACTTGCCACTTACTTGGTAGCTCTTTAGTTTCATGGTTTAGCAAGAAACAAGTCAGTGTTGCGTTATCCACAACCGAAGCGGAATATGTAGCCGCC